CCCCTCCTCCTCCGCGCGCCCGGCTTGGCTCAGCATGGCTCAGCCCTGCCCGGCTCGGCGAGGGGCGGGGCGGCGCGCCCGGGCGGGGCTCCGCGTCACGACCCGGCTCCGCGCCCCGCTCCCCCGCCGCCTTCCTCCGCCCTCGCCGCGCATCCACTTGTTGCGCGTAGCACGCATGCCCGGCGCCCTGCCCGGCCGCGGGGTACGGCGGCGGGTAGCGTCTCTCTGCGCTGCGGTGGCGTGCGTGTGCGCCGCTGCCGGGCCGCGCCTTCTCAGTTCACTCCCGTTTGCCGGGCGTGAGGCCGCGAGCGCCCAGCGCCCTGCCGGCGGGGTCCCGCGTGCCCAGGCAGCGCCTGATGTCCGACCCCGCGGCCGCAACGGGCGGACCCGCGATGCCACGTGGGGCGGGGCGGCGGGCGAGGGAGCGCCGAGATCCTCCCGCGCTCACGCGGGGAGAAGGAGGAAGAAGAGGAGGGGGGGATTCCCCCGCGCCGTCGGAACGCGCGGCTGTTTTCCCGTTTACCCCTTTAACCGGCCGCCGATGCTTGCGTAACGCCGCCACAGGGCAGAGCGCTCGCATCGACTCCGCTCCACGCAAATAAGAGGAACGCTCGCTTCGGCGGGGAGAAAGCGAAACACAAACGGGGCTGGCCCTTCCCTGCCGAGCTCCGTGGGCGGAGCGGCGCGGCGGACGCCGGCGTAGCGCGGAGCGGCGCAGCTCGTGCCGAGAGCACCGTTGCGTCACGGGCGCGCCCTGCGGCTCGCGCGGGGCACGGCGCCGCCCGCCGCGTCAGCGCGCCCTGGGAGCCTCCGCCGCGCCGCGCCGGGCGGCCGTGCTGCTGTGCTGTTGTGCTGTTGTGCTGCTGTGCTGCTGCAGCCGGGCCGCGCCGCCGCCTTTGTGGGGCTGCACATCGCCTCGGGTGGGCAGGGCGCGGACAGCCGGACACAAACGCGTGCGAGCGCACGCTCGCGTACGCGCAGCCGCTTACTGGCGCCTGAGAACCGAGCGCAGAGCTGCCTCGTGCCCGGCTAATAACGTTTCACAACTCACGTGACGAAAAGTTGTTCCTTTAAATAATTCCTTTCGTATGGCCACTGCGTCTCATTTCCATTTTTAGTTATCTGAAGCGTTTTATATGCGTCCGGTTATAATCTATGAAGCCGGCAAACGAATTTGAAGCGTGTGTGAGAGGAGCTGTTTTAAAGCTCAATGCGACGCGCACACGGAGCTGGCCGCGCAGATACCGTTCCGTGAGGAGCTCGGCTCTAACGCAGCGCAGTGGGGAGCCGTGCGCCCGCAGCCCTCGCACACGGGCAGGACGCGCTCCCAGCCGCAGGTCGGGCTCCCGGCCGGGGGCTCGGGGCGCCTCACCGGCACCGGGGCCCCGCCGCGCCCCACCGCCCCACGGCCCCGCTCCCCCGAACCCTGAAAAAGCGCCCTTATTTGGCGGCGCCCACCTCCGAGAAGCGGCCCGCCCTCCTCACTGCCTTTATGGGGGTATAAATAATAATTGCCTTAGATATAATCTGGCCTCGGAAAACCATTTGCAGGTGCTGTCAACTCCCTCTATAGTTCGTGAACAGAAAAAGAGCGGAGATTAGCATCTGTGACCCGAGCAAACTGCCTTTACTTTTACTTGCGGGATACACAGTCCTGAAAATATGTTTGTTTTTCCGTAATGATTAAACCTGATTTAAACTTTGGTCATGGGTACGCACCGTGCCATTACGCAAGTGGCACTTAAAGATGAAGTGTCGGCGCAGCAACAGTGTGGCCAGCAGCGGTGGTGATCTCTGAAAGCCGATTGATGAAGAGAACCGCAATGCAAATGCAAATAAATGGCACACCGTGGCACCTTCACGGGGAACGAGTTGTCAGGATCGATCTCCTCTGTTAGAGGAGAATAGATTGAACGGTGGCAATGTCACAGTGCTGCGGTGCGTGGCGGCTCCGTCCCTGTGAGGGCTGCGCCGCGCTGTTCACCCGGTGCCCTCCGCACCCTGCAGCGCTGGCGGTGGGGCCGGGGCAGCCGCGTGGGCCTGGCGGGCTTTGTGCTGAACGTGGCCGGTGTTTGTTTAGCTCTGAAATAATCCAGGAATTAATATTGCATTTGGAGGAGGAAAAGAGGAAGCCCCAACAATGAAGCCATTCAGGTGCCCGATGTGGCTAGATGAAAAAAAAGACGCAAGCAAACAAAAAATAGCTTAAGGGGGAAAAGGACAGTGACTTGTTTAATAAAAGGGAAGGAGAGAGACCAGGAGAGACCGGGCGGCAGTTGCGAACAACCGCTCCGCAATTGCTTTTTGCACAGAAATGCGAGTCAGCACTTTGGGCGCAGTGCTGGGACTCTGCACATTGCCCGCTGCTCCCAGCCCGTCAGCAGTTCCCGTGGACAGGAATGCAGTTCTCACTGTCAGAAGTAACATCTAACTCCTTCCTTTCACACTAGGATAAATGCTGCCATCCAAGAATCCTTTTCCCTTTATTTCCCTTACCTGCTGTATTCCATACTGCACACGCATGCACACCTGCGTAATGCCAAAACACCAAGTGAGCCTTGGATTTGAATGAAGGAATCAAAGCGATCGTAAGAAACATGAGGTGTGCTGACTGGACAACACCTTTCTTAATGCAGCTACTAGGAAGTAGAGGGTGCACTGCACCGTGAAGGAAGAAGGGACACATTCCGTGTGCCCATCTGAGCCCCAGGTCTGCCTGGCTTTACTCTTGTGCCACCAAAGCACTGGGATCGCTATTGATTTTGGCACTGGAATATTGCTGATTATTGATCAGCAGTCCAATGTTAATTATGCGGAATATAGGACAGCCCCAGCGTTTGCAAGCTCAATAATTAGGAGCCCATGATCTCGGCAGTCTGGGAAAGAATGCTCCAAATGCTCCCAGCCTGGGAACACGCTTAACTCTTTGCTGCTCGCGGTGCAAAGCTCTGGCACTGAGTGGTGCGGCAGTTGCAGCAGCTGCTCGGGATGGAGGCGCTCAGCCGCAGAAAGGGCTCTTTCCTCCATGGGCAGAGCAGCGGCTACAGCTGGAAAAAATACAGGGGCCAGAAGGAAAGGGCGCTCCTGAGAGTGTGATTTACATGGGTTTACCTCAGTACGGCTAATCAAATCAAATCCTCACCATCAAATGACCGGCTCCAAAACAATGTAGAGATTAGCAATGAACAGAGCTTGTAGGTATAGGGAATGCGTTCAGCAAGTCAAAACACAAACACTTCAATAGAAGTTGCAGAATTTTGTCAAATTCAAAGTTAACAACACTGTCTTCTACTAGAAGCTGCCACGAAGTGTCAAAACACCTGGTTACAAAGAACAGGAGTGTAATTACATGTTTCTGTTTATCATTTCAGTTCTCATCTCATTATAATTCTGTATTTTCCTACCATCCTTCAGGTAGCGAGCCTTGTTGACATACACAGAGCCTACCGCTTCCCTCCTCCCTCCCTTCCTCCCTCCCTCCTTCCTTTCATCCTTCCTGTTTTTTTCTTTCTCTCCAGCCTGCAGCACTCAGACGTGTCCAAACAGCCGCTGCCCAAAGCGCTGCCCACTTCGCTGGTTCGTTTCCACATTTCTGCTCCCCGTGCGCTCACACCACCCACAGCTGCCCTGCTCTGTGCCAGCCCCTGATGCCAGGCAGCTTTGTGGCCCCATGCCACACAAATGTCCCATTTTTGCCCTGGGAAGTCATTACAGTGTGAGACCCAGCCCAAACGGATTTTCATACAGCTGACTTTATGGTTTTTAAACCCATCTGAGAGCCCAGATTTCCATACGTTAACTAACCTTTGCCAAATCTTACAGTGCAAAATAAGACACCTACAATGAATTCTGCTAACTCTGCAAGGGACTCAGCACTGGTAGCACATTTTTTTGCTTGGATACGTAGAGACTGGGTCCTCTCTGCTGCTGTTATTTTTGCTTTATCTCTGGCCTGTTTTCATCTTACATCCTGTGGACGTAGTAAACAATCAACAATAATGAATCTACTGAATCGGTACATTTTTTTCAAGCTATTCCCACCGAGAGCCACTTGCACTTTCGTGACAGCTAAGAATCTGCCAAACATTAGCTTAGTTACCAGCAAGACAGCCCCCCTCCCTTCACCCCATACACAGATTGTTTATCAAAACGTTCTGCCAAGAAAAATATCCCTGCTTTTGGCCTCCGCCAGTGATTAATAACACTTGAGAACTGAACAAAACTTTACTGTGTTTTCCAAAAATGGGGGAGGTGGGAAGAGGAAAGGCAAATTAAAAGAGGAAAGAAGGGGAAGAGGAAGAAGTAAGGAAGAAGAAAGCAAGCAAGAAAGCAAGAGGAAAAAGAAAGAAAGAAAAAGGAAAAGGAAAAGGAAGAGGCAGGAAGGAAAA